AAAAGGAATACCACATGGAGTCCAAACAGAATGAAACCTTCGCGATGATTTTTCTTGGACCAGAAGACAACCAGGAGACTTGGAGATGAAGGTTGAGGAGCCACGAGGTGGCCAGAAGGATGGAGGGCGCGCCCCCACCCTTGTGGGCCCCTCGTGCACCTCCTGACCTAATTCTTTCGCCTATATATTCCCATATATCCCCAAACCAACAGAGGCATCCACGAAAACACTTTTCCGCAACCGCAACTTTCTATACCCATGAGATCCCATCTAGGGGCCTTTTCCCGCGTCCTGTCGGAGGGGGATTCGATCATGGAGAGCTTCTACATCAACACCATTGCCCTTTTGATGAAGCGTGAGTAGTTTACCACAGACCTACGGGTCCATATCTAGTAGCTAGATGGCTTCTTCTCTCTCTTTGATTCTCAATACCATGTTCTCCTCGATGTTCTTGGAGATCTATTCAATATAATACTTTTTTGCGGTGTGTTTGCCGAGATCCGATGAATTGTGGATTTTTGATCAGCTTATCTATGAACATTATTTGAATCTTCTCTGAATTCTTATATGCATGATTTGATATCTTTGTAATTTTCTTCGAACTATCGGTTTGGTTTGGCCAACTAGATTGGTTTTTCTTGCAATGGGGGAAGTGCTTACCTTTGGGTTCAATCTTGCGGTGTCCTTTCCCAGTGACAGTAGGGGCAGCAAGGCACGTATTGTATTATTTCCATCGAGGATAAAAAGATGGGGTTTTCATCATATTGCTTGAGTTAATTCCTCTACATCATGTCATCTTACTTAATGCATTACTCCGTTCTTTATGAACTTAATTCTCTAGATGCATACTGGATAGCGGTCGATGTGTGGAGTAATAGTAGTAGATGCAGGCAGGAGTCGGTCTACTTGACACGGACATGATGCCTATATTCATGATCATTGCCTTAGATATCGTCATAACTTTGCGCTTTTCTATCAATTGCTCGGCAGTAATTTGTTCACCCACTGTATTATTTGCTATCTTGAGAGAAGCCTCTAGTGAAACATATGGCCCCCGGGTCTATTTTCATCATATAAGTTTCCGATCTACAATCTTAGTTTCTGATCTACTATTCTTGCAATCTTTTACTTTTCGATCTATAAACCAAAAATATCAAAAATATTTACTTTATCATTGATCTATCTCTATCAGATCTCACTTTTGCAAGTAACTGTGGAGGGATTGACAACCCCTTTATCGCGTTTTGTGCAAGTTTGTTTGATTGTTTGTGCAGGTATTCGGTGATTTGTGCGTTGTCTCCTACTAGATTGATACCTTGATTCTCAAACTGAGGGAAATGCTTATCTCTACTTTGCTGCATCACCCTTTCGTCTTCAAGAGAAAAACCAACGCAAGCTCAAGAAGTAGCAGCGACCAGGTAGCTTCGTCCCTTCCAGCTCACTTGGCTCCCCGACATCCCGATGGCTTTGGCCACGGCATTCCGGATTTGCGCCCCTCCAGTCCTAGCTTGCCGGCGTTGCTGATCGTCGTCGCCCCACCCCCTCATGGTTTGCTTCACTGCATGCCCTACCTTGTAGGCCTCAAAGCCTCCTCTTTTGTGCCTGATCCAATGCTCGTGGGTTCGAAGGAGGTGCCACTCTCCGACGGCAGGTGCAACCCATCAACCCCCTTCCGACATGGTGGCTCCGATCATCGTTCACTTCCTCATTCTCGTTTCCAGATTCGGCGGCTATGGGTTTGCTTAGCCTCAGGCCAGGGAGAAACCACAGCTCGGTTTACCGATGCTGGCAGCAGCGGCGTCTGCGGATGTCGTTTCCTCCTTAGAGGCGTTGTCAAGGCCCTCGGCTGCGCCCCTCTTAGAGCTTAGGGGAAACTCTAGGTCCAATTCCTCCGGACCGGATGGCGACAGCGTCTCGGCATCGTCTTCCTTCTTGAAGGCGCCATCTTGCTCGCTCGCGGTGTCCCGAGTCTTGCCTCCGGTGATGTTGGTGATCTTGTTGGTTCGGGATTGCCGCTTTTGGTTTGGGCTTGGTTGGTTTAGCTGTGTTATATATATCCTTTGTTCGGGCCGAGCATCCCTTGTCTCTCTGCTTCGGGCACCATATTCACGCCTGCCTGCGTTCGTGTCATGTGTTGTACTCTCATCTGTACTATTTCTGCTCCTTCTATCAATGCAATGATATGCAAGTTTTGCGTATTCGCGAAAAAAAACTGGTAAACACATAAGTGCATCCGTTGTTGTGGGAGTAAAGGAGAGGCCTCGATTTATCAGATGAAGTTGTAGCTTTCCTCAATTTGGGGCTTATAGGTAGTTTTCGTTGTATGTCGCTTCGGCCCTTCCGACGGTGGTGATGGCGGCGCTAGATAAAGGCATCCTCGGCATTGTCGGTTCAGCGAATAAGGTTCCCTCGAGTCTCCTCATCTCTATGATGTCGTCCGAGGCAGAGGGGTCGATGGCTTGATGACGTACTTTTCCACCGATAGTTCTGGCGGGTGAGATTTTGGTCCAAGTGTTTGTTTGCGTGACGGCGGTTGCAGTTTAGTCCTCCAGCCTCATTCTCATTGCCATCATGTCGATGTGGTCTCCGGTGTTGGTTGGCATGTAGTCTGTGAGGAATAACGGAGGTTTAGCTCTTGGATCAGCGACTCTTCCAGGATGATAACTTCTTCTCTAGGCGCTGGGCTGGCAAGATCATGGTCTTCATGACTTCCCGCCCGCGATCAACAACGGTAGTAGGTTGGCTCCAGCGACGACGCGGCAGCGGCACGCCATCAGCCCATTCGGGAAGCTTATACAGTTAAAAAGAACTTTAGAGGCTTACTAAAATGGTTCTTCAAGTTTCCGAGTTCCAAATTATTACATGTCACCGGAAGCCACAAAAGAGAAACATTGACGTCTTAAAGTTGAAAAAAAGTTGATGGGTTTAATTCGCCTCTCACTTGTTTAAGAGAAATGGTTAATGACCTTGCTAATCATCTTTAGGACGAGTGCCCGTACCCTCGAGTCGCCCTCTCGAGGGCAACTCGGGGGCGACAAACCTCGCCGTCCGCCTCCTCCCCTTCTCGTCCTATCCTCGCCGCTGCCGGAGACGGGCGCCGGGTCCCCCGCGCGGCCGCCGATGAGGGTGGCGGCGAGGCCCTCGGCCGCGACGCCGCTCGGGCTCGGGCCTAGGGTTTGAGGCTGCGGCCTCTGCTGGTGAGGGCGGCGTTGTCCTGACGGCGGGCGGCGCTCGCCGGAGTTGAGGGCCGCGTCTACTTGGCCGCGCGGGCGGCGAGTTGGCGGTGGATGCGGGCACCGCGTGGAGGGATCCCCTGCTACTCTCCTTCGCCAGATCTGAAGACGGCGCCCCCATACTGCTGCTTCCTCCTCATCAGTCCGTCCGGATCCGGTGGCGGACTGCTCGGATGTGGGGTTGGGAGCTCTGGATCGGAGTAATTTCTTGGCCGGCTGCGGCGGCCACGACGCCGGCGGCGCTCCAGGCGTTGTTTCCTTCTTGAAGGCGGCTTCGAGATCCAGCTCCCTCCCCCTCGTCCTCCCCCTGCACCCGGGTGAAAACCCACAACTTTGGTTGGGCGGCGGCGGTGCCCGGCTTCGTCACCTTCTTGAAGGCGCCACTTTGGGTCCGCGGGAAGGTGGGACAGCTGCAGCGCGTTCTTGGCGTTCCTGATGGCGGCGGTTCTCTCTTTAGTGGTGTCGCTTTCTCCATGACGGTCGGCTGGTCTGGCTCTCGTGGTGATTGTGGTGCCCAACTCTTCGTCGTGTCTTCCTGGGGTGCTCCCGTCCCGTTCAGAGAGGCTGGAGGTGGAGCGGCTTCATCTTGCACGGAGCTTCGGTGGAGATGTCAAGTCATGCCTGACCGACAGGTGCTACGCTTTGTCATGCCTGGTCGGCAGGTGCTACGCACGACAGATCTTCCAAAGACTTCAAGTTGTGTCGGCTGGTGGTACTTGGCAGCATGGTGCTGAGGTGTGTCAGTGGCGACCACGACGTGCTCAGATGTTTGCGCGCAGGGAGGAGGTGCCGTTGGGCGCCGTGGTGGCATCGATGATAGCTGGACCGAGCAAGGTTGATGCATCAGTACAGTTCTGAAGATGGAGCGGTGGCAGTTGGCGGCGGTGGCCTCTGAGTGCACGCCGGACCGGTGAGACCCATGCTCGGCAGGCGTCCTAAATGGGACATCAGGTCTTAAATGTTAGGTTTAGTTGCGATGTCTGTTTGGTATTAGGCCCAGGCTATCTGCGCCCCTTCATCAACTGGATAGAGTTGCTTAGACGGCGGCTTTAGTCTTATTGTTGTATTACTTTGTAAGGTCTTGTGAGAATAATTAATAAAGTGACCGTATGCATCGCTCAGATGCAGAGGCCGGGGGTCATCCTCCTTTTCTAAAAAAAATCATCTTTCTTTTGCTTCTGGGTTCATTCTTGTACAATCATAAGTATGTGCTTTCAAAATTAAGGCGAGTCTCCCTGTTTTGGAGGATTTACTTTCAGACTGCAGTGTCAGAAAGGCGCCTTAATTCTTATCTAATTCTTGTCTTGGAGTGATTAAACGTCCAAGTTAAGTAGTATAAACCCAATAGACTTTAACAGCAAGTACACTTCAAATATCACCAAGGTTAACATGCATTTTTACTAGTGCAATATTTGCCGATTAATAGTACTAAATAAAACACACAAGCGAATAACAGCAGGTCTGCTTCAAATACCAACAACTGCAACAACAAACACAGGAGGGCCATCACAAACCAACACTTACTGAATTCGCTTCAACAGTTCTTTCTTGAGCTCATACAACAACACAACAGTATACATACACCAAATAGTGGTCCATAACAAGAACTATCCATATGCGGTTCTCATCGCACTGCGTATTTACACGGAGATAACTCCCCACACTGCACGTCATGGTTACTTAATAGGTGCGATAATCGCAGTAGTCTTTTCGAGGAAAAAAGAGATGAGCCTGCCGGGTTCTTCCCAGGGCACTGCAAGATCGTCATCACATGTTTACTGCCGTGGCGGCTTCAGGGTGGTAGTGAAGCATCTCCTGCCACATCATTTCCCTGATCATCTCTGAGCTGATGTTCTCATCTATGTCAAGATCGATGGGCACTTGCGCGGGAGGGTTTGCACTTGGGTCATAAAGAGGAGACATGTAAGGGTGTTCAAGGGCCTGGGTAACACTGATCCTTTTAGTAGGATCGAAGATGAGCATCTTCTGTAATAGATCGATGGCCAGAGGATGTGCATGTGGGTACATACTTGCGAGTGGAACACCGGGAGTGTAGGGAAGGGTCTTGATATATCTGCGAGCCTTTGGGTTGTCGATGAACTCCAGGTCAGACTCGCTCATGGTGCCAAGAACATTGACTATCAGTTTTAGCTGATTGAGGCACTCTGTCCCAGGAAAAATAGGCTTGCGGCCAAGTAGCTCAGCAAAGATGCAGCCAACAGACCAAACATCGATGGAAGTGCCGTAGTTGTCACAGCAAAGCAGCAACTCAGGAGCCCTATACCAGCGGGTGACGACGTATTCAGTCATAAACTGGCCTTTACTACTGTTTGTACGTGCAAGACCAAAATCACATATCTTCAGATCACAGTTTGCATTCACCAGTAGGTTCCCAGGTTTTAGGTCTCTGTGGAGTATCTCTGCTGAATGGAGGTATTTCAGTCCTCGAAGCAACTGCAATCAAAATAACAACATCTTAAATCATCAACAGAAAATGTAGATAGGAAGAATAAAAAAGAATTCAAAAGATCTTACAATAACAGGTTAAATGAAGCACAAGGGTCACATAAATTAAAAATTCATCAGCATGCTTATACTTGTGTAGAATGAATGCTTTTACTTCTTTAGAATGAATGCTTTTACGTAGAGACATAGTTCTGTTAGAATGCATGCTTATACTTCATGTAGTGGTAGAGATACTTTTTTAGTTTAATGTATGTACATAAAAGCTTAAACTCTAAAAAGAATGTCATTTTATAAAAAAAATATTAGAAAGCCCCAATTCATTGGATGCGGAGGTCTGACAAGTGACAAAGTGAAGTCCAAGTAGTCATATTCAATATATCAGCTGGATTGGTAAGTCTGGCTGTTACCATGTTAACAAAATAAGTTGTAATTAGAAACATCCAAACAGAAGGTGCTAATTTTAGGTTGCATCTGGACATGAGCCTGTGTTGGTCTTTTTTATTTATTTCATGAGGCAGCAAGACAATGCCTCGCAATGTGACTGAGAGTAATACAGGTTGATGCAGAAAAGGAAAATTCACATATCGCGTATGAACTATGCTATTGTGTCTAACGTTTAAAAATAAATACCAAAGCGTAATAGAAAAGGTGAAGAACCCAACAATATATTCCATGCCATCCAATTCGAAGTTGTCTATATAGCTACAGAGTGAAGCTGCCTTCCACTCTAAAGTTACTAGAAGATACCTTCTGTCCAGCTGTCAATCTAAAGGGCTGCAACCTGGGCTTCGAAACAAAGATAAGTGGCCAGTTATTGCCAGTTCTTTCAAAACCCATTGAGTGAAGGACCATGTGAAACTGACCAGAATCACACAGGATGACAATGACATGCCAAGTTGCACTTCTGTTCCCAATTTTACCTAGGTTTTCATTCGAGCTGGCACAAACTTCAAGAATATTGTGTAAAAATGTGAAAAGAAGTTCATGGTTGGATTGAGTAACATTTAAGTGTTTACAAAACAGTGTGTGTATTTCAAGTTCGAATCGACAAAGACACCTAACAGTGTGTATTGCAGCGACCAATTAATCTGGTACAGACTAAAGTACCATCCTTGATGAATACTAGAGTGAACTTGCGAATATAATGGGTAATGTACACATGCAGATATAAGATGTATTATCACAAATGGTGCAGGTAGTGAAAGTAATAAGGAGAAGATACATACTCACTACAATTAAATAATTAAATGTCAAAGAGCGATGGAAAAGGTGTGATCCGAGCATTACCTGAAAAAGAAAATATTGGCAGTGGTCATTGGAAAGCCCCTGAGGCGATTTGATTATCTGATGCAGGTCAGTATCCATGAGCTCATAAACCAAGTACACATCCTTAAAGCTCCTCCTTTGTACAGGCATCATTATATCCTTCAAAGAAATAACATTCTCATGGCGGAGATGCCGGAGGAGTTTCAGCTCCCGCAAGGTCCTTAGTGCATCCACACGGTTGTCGAATACATTATGTATCTTCTTTATCGCTACTTTCTCGTTTGTCTCACGGTTTATGGATGAGCAAACTATTCCATAAGCTCCTCGGCCGATGGGCTTGATAGGCACATACTTGGTGTCAATCTCAAACAAGGTTTGCCACATTGAGTAGTAGTGCTTCCCTTGGTTTCCCATGCCATTCGGAGGATCCACCAGCATTGCCATTTTCAACTAACAAAACAAAACATAACTTAGTATACCATAAATAACAGTACAATAAGCAAATTTAATTTCTTTGAGCTTACACAATCACCAAATTTTGAATCTGAAAAATTAAGTCAGCTTCATTATAAAATACTAGTTGTAACAATGTGGTTCTAACCACCCATCTTTGAACACTCTCCTAACCTCCGGACCTTAGGATCAATAGCTGAATCTATATTTACGTTGTTTGGGTCTTAAACTCAAGATCCCTTGACTTGACTCTGATACCGTATTGAAGTGCATGCACCTAACCATAACCAGTTCACCCAAAAGCTTAAGCTGATGAGGAGAGGTTGACAGTATACAATTCTCCAACTAAACCAGGCTTTGGTAACAAATTTACATGACCTCAGATGCCAATAGAACACACAATCTTCTTTTTTTTTGGTACTAAGTGTTTATGTGGAACTCCAAGTAGAAGAAGAATTCAGAACTGAACCTAAACTGTACCATGCACCACGAGCTACAAGGCTCATAAATTCTGATCAGAATAGGCAACAGTGAATGAACTATATATAAGCAGTACATGTTCGCATGTCATCTAAGTGCAGTTGTACTTATCTAAGCTTATAAATGGGCATGGACGCTGACCAATTCAGCTCTTGAAATGATCAGCTTCAATGTCCATTTATATAAGCTTATAAATGGTAACTTTGATCGCTAGCGCTGCCAATCCGCGCATCACCACCATGCAATGCTACTCACTGCCACCTCTCACGCGCATTCTCATCAGCCTCAGTGCTAAACGCACAAATCGAATCCGCAGTCCCAGCGACGGGCAGACGGATGGCGTGCAAGAAACCCATAGCTCCGGTCGCCAGATCGTCGCCCAGATGATTATCAGGGCAAGAAATGCCCCCAGACAATCATCGCACACCCCCGTGAACAGCATGGCCCGATGCATCACCGGTCAGCCGGAGCACAGGCGTGCGCGCGGTACCGGGAATCGAATTATTTGGGCGGGACACTCGACTAGGCACGCACGCAGGCACGCACCCGGCGGCGCAATCCGAGCTCGCCAGCTGGGGCTGCTTGGATCAGGGGCGCCCGATCTCCGCGGGACGGAGACCGGCGCAGTCCGTCCGGACAAGAACCCGCCGATCTCGGGCCGCGGAGGCCAAGCACAAGGATTGCGGAGAGAAGGGAGAGATGCTCACTTACACGAGAGGGGAGGGGAGAGCAGCTGG